TGTGTGTGTGTGTGTGTGTGTGTGTGTGTGTGTAGATGTGTGATGGTATAAGAAAAGGATAGAAAACTTTTCGAGTGCACTGACCTTCGACGAGTGCTCTAAAACCGTGTGCGAACACCACAAACCATAGCTGCATCACCCGTTGACGATGCATTCCTCTCCTCTCCTCTCTTCTTTCTTTTTTCTCTTTTCTTCTTTTCTCTTTAAACTTTCCTCCGACATGTTGCAATAACACTTGCAGTTTGCTTGCTTGCTTGCTTGCTTGCTTGCTTACTGCAACCTCGTGTTTTGCTTTTACCATCTTCTTCTTTTATCTTTCTATTTCATTCTTCTTTTTTTATATATTTTTTTTCTATTTTTTTCTCTCATATATAAGACTTTTATCGCATTAAATCCATCCATATCGTCATTTCCTTACCATTTGGAATTTATTTCTTTATTTATATTTTATTTTGCTGACGACGCGGTGTTGTTCGTTGGAACGATTCCGATTCATAGAAATGTAATCTTTTTCATTTACTTCATTATTTTTTTAATTCTTGTTTTCTTTTTATTGCAGGTCGAGGCCGGTGACGTAATACTCAGGGTAAACGAAGTTGATGTCAACCGATTTAGTACTAAAGAAGGTAAGAATATATATATATATATATATATATATATATATATATATATATATATATATTCATTTATATATTAAACGATTTTAATTGTATATTCATCCGTTTGTGTTACATTTGTTTTGAAAATAAGTATCCCAAATAGATGTTTCACGATTACGTTTTTATATCATTTTTGCGTGCTCTGATATTTTATCCCCACCACTAGCACCATTACCCCCACTACTACCGCTGCTCCCACCACTCTACCACTGTCCCCACCATTAAAACCAATTCGTTTCGAATTTATTCCTTCATCTTTCTCTTTCTCTCCCTAGTCCTCATTATTTAACGAGTTTCCTCACGACTATCGATAATATTATCGATTTATTACGACTTTCATTTCCGACTCTTCGTTTCTCTCTCATTAATGTGAAATTGTCTCTTTGTATAGTCTCGAAATGTCATCTAGGACTTCTCGTCCGATGGCTTCCTATTTCTTCCCCTTTTCAAGCCTTTATTCATAATTAATTTGTTATTGTTGTTAATGTTAAATTGAACATTAGAGATATCAAATCAAACGTATGTACGAAAGAAAATGGCGATTGAAATATTACTCGACAATACATCGGAAAACAGAATACGTAAGGATTTGTATTTCTTATCATTTTCATTATTCTGGGTGAAAATTAAACGAAATGAAAAAATTTAATTTAATTTAATCACGTTATATTTAATTTCATTTCTAATAACAATAAGAAATTAATTAATTATTTTTTCTTTTTATTTTTTTAGTATTTTTATTATTTCATTTCTTTCGTCCCATGATTTTTATTTTTTATTTTTTTTATTTTTTTGTTCCTCTAAAAGGATCGTTTTATTTTTAATTTTTTTTTATCCGAATTTACGAGTAAAATTAAAAAAGAAAAATTAGAACACGCGGCCCGTCTATTAAATCTAAATTCGTCCAATTTATTATACGACCGGTGAAAGAACTTAATAATAAATTGCTTCTTTTTCTTTTTTGTCTTCTGGATATATTTTTTTTTTTTTTTTTAATTTTAAGAATCATTTTTTATTTTTTCCCTCTTTTCATTTCTCTCAAATGAATTTTCACGAGTAAAATGAAAATTAAAACGTACGCCCCAACGAGGAGGTTATATCTCGTCTACTAAATCTAAATTCGTTTAATTTCATTTCCAACATGGGGACAAAAAAAAACTAAAAAGAATTACGCCATAATAAATTATTTTCTTTTATCAATATTTTCTTTTTTTTTCTTTTTTTTTTTTTTTTATTTATTTTCGTTTAACTCAAATCATTTCTTTCTTTCTACGGCAATGCATAAAATTAAATGAAATGAAAGAATATAATTTAAATCACGGTATATTTAATTTTATTTCTAATAATAACAAGCTGTATGAATATTAATTATTTTTTATTTTTATTTTTTAGTATTTTTATTTTTATTATTTTTATTATTTCATTTCTTTCGTCCCACAATATAGATTATATATTTTTATATATATAAAATCAAATAATAAATTAAAAACATACGTGTTGATAAATATCCGGTAATCTTGTTGATGATAAATAATTTTTTTTTTTTTAAATAATAATAATCGTTAGAATAATAATAATAATAATAATAAAACAACATAGAGTATCTTGTAATATAAATATCGTGTAAATTTAAATAACTTCATGTATTCAACTTTATCACACGTAAAATTTACTTTACCTAATCTTCAACTAAAGAAAACGATGAAAAATAAAATTGCAGTTAAAAAATTAAAAAAAAAAAAAAAGGAATAAAAAGTAGCGAAAATATATCTGCTTGATGAAACGCCTGGAATGCAATGCGAACTTAGGGTTATGAAAAGTATTTTTAAATGATGGAACGTGCGAGAACTATGAAAAAAAAAAAAAAAGAAAAGGAAAAGATAAAAGATCTTTTTTAAAATTTGTGGATCCTTTTTTCCTCAACTACCACCATGATTACCCACTTCTATAAGTCGTTGGAATTTTCTAGCTGCATTTACATTTTATCTCGGCTTATGTGTTCCTTTCTATATGTGTTAGAGGGGAATTTGGAAGGGGGTAGAATTCAGTCTGGACTTCAGTATCATAAAAAGTAAAGTATGTTTAGTAAAAGTTCCTAAAGTGTGTTAGGTGTTAGAGAAAATATGAGTGAGAGAGAAAGAAAGAAACGAGTTTCCTGACCTATGACAATTTCAAACGGAGATAACACATATCTTTTAAAGTTATACACTCTTTTAATTTGACTATTTGATATTCTACTTTGTTCTCTTTCTCTTTCTTTCTTTATTGTTTGAAATTAGGTATAACAATTTTAATTCAATAATTTAAACAAATTTTACATTCACAAACTTTTACAAAATTTACATTCATTATATTTTTTCTTAATTATCTCAATTATTATCTTAAATTTAGATGTTAACTTTTAGACAATTAGTTTAATGTCTTTTATGGTGATTTTAATGCAATGAATGTAACCAAGTTAAGTGTGTGGCGATCTGTGCGCAGAGTAGTGCGCTCCGGTGTGTGTCGCGATAATCAAGCGATGACGGATATAGTCGTCAAACGCACAGAGTAAGTGGCGCTGTTAAAATATTGGATAATACAAAAATAACGACTTTATTTTAAAAAATGAACAATTTTGTTAGTAATGTACACACAGTGTCTTAATATGACCACATATATTTATACATAATAAATAACGGAAAAATTAGAGGAAAAACTAATCGAATATTTATAGAAGTTACAAATTTATTCTTGACTTTTTTTATTTTTTTTTTCACCTCTAAACATTTGAAACATATTAAAATTTACGAATATAATTTAGTTTTCGCTACCAAAATTACAATTTTAACATCAAATTGTAACAAACTTTTACACATGACGGATATAGACGTCATAACATAAAATTTTGCCACATCTCCATGACGGATATAGTCGTCTTAACTGGTTAACAAGACACTTAATTAATTTTCACATTTCATATATTAAATCTTATATTTTATTTTTTTTTGTTTTTTTTATTTCAACCTTCATTCTATGCATATTTGTTCATATTTTTTATTTTTATTTTTATTTTAGTGTTGTATGTTAAAATCATATAAAATAGTGTTCACATACTTTGATATTTTTTCTTAGTCTATATAAATATGTATGTGTGTGTGTGTATATATCATATCATATATGTGCATACTCGGTGTCCTCTGTTAAAAGACGTCTGACGAACTATGAACTTTAGATCATGTTTATGATTCTTTCCTTTCCTATGTAGAAAACTATAAATTACTAAGAGGATGTATACGAGCAGAACTTGTTAATGCGTCTTTTTTAATGTCGCATTTTTAACGAATTCCTCATCCATCTCCTCTTACGTGTTGCAATTCCTACTTTTATCGCGTTCATCTATGAAACAATGTAGTTTGCGTATTTTTTTTATTTCATTCATCTTTATACTATTTTATAATGTCATCAATATTCTTGACTAGTTTGTTCTTATATTTTTTATTTTATTTTATTTTATTTTTTATACAGCTGTCCATGAATATCGGACAGCGTGATTAAAACTAATTTAATCGTGATTAATCAAATATGGAAATTAAGGTGTGAAATAAAAAAGTATTATATGATTTTTTTATTATTTTACAATAAATTCATATCAACATTGTTAAAAGTAATTATTAAGAGAATCATGGTTATATTTATATATATATATTTTGTATTTTTTATTGCTCATTTAAAGGATTTATTATTTAGAGGTTATTAAGGTCTTTAAGTACTGTAAGTTTTCAATAGATGGTGTTGTATTACAATTCAATTATATCGATAAAACTAACCTTGTTTTTTATATTTTTTCATGTATTATTATCTTATGTGTTGTTAGAATTTACTAAATATTTTAGAATTATATTAAATCAACAATTTTATAATAGGATAGTTTTTATCACGATTATTTATTTTTTATTGCTAATTTAAAGGATTTATTATTTAGAGTTTATCTAGGTCTTGAGGTACCGAAAAATTTTAATAGATGGAGCTGTATTACAATTCACTTATTTTACGTTTTTTTTTTTAAATTTACATATGACGTAACTAACTTTACTTTTTATATTATTTTTAGTATTATTATTTTATGTATTCCATTTTAATTGTGGTATTATTTCGTGTGTTGTTATAATTTACTAAATAATTTAGAAATGATATTAAATCAATATTTTCTAATAAAACCACACCAACAACACATGGCCAGAACACATCCTAGTATATATATATATATATATATATATATATATTTTAAAATATAAATAAATTTATATATCTTTTAGCTGAATAAATTCATATCTACACACACATATATATATTTTATCTAATAACTGATTATCGTATGTATAAATAATATTATAAAAATGAGATTTTGTTGATAAGCACCTCCCCTAATCATAGTAGTGTGTATCGATGGATAACCTTCATAAATTATAGTTAGCAATGTCGTACGATGACTTCTAAGCTCAGTTTAGCTTATAGACGTGTTCTACCTCAATGTAGAAAGCACCAGGTCGACCCACGTATTTCTCATTCCAGTCACCAGACCCCACCCACTTCTCGAGGTTGCCTTGTTCTTTCTCTCTCTTTCTATCTTTCTTTTACTTACTCGTTCTCTTTCAGGACATTCCCTTTACTTCTCTTTCTCTCTTTCCTTCTTTCTTTCTTTCTTTCTTTATTTCTCTCTCACCGAAGTGTCTCCCTTTCTCTTCATCTTTTTAATTTTTTTTTTTTTTTTTACTCTTTTCTCTCAGCATCTTTCTGTTTCAGTGCTGAAATGTCTGCGGCTCTCATCGGACCCCGTCACCCTGAAGCTAAGAAGGGGTAAGTCAAGAACGTACCTTTCCACCACCATCACCATCACTAACCACCCTTTCCATTGCGAATTTTTTTTTTCTTTTTCTTTTTTTTTTTTTATTTCACTTCACGAAGAAACATCGACGTATTCTCGAAACAACCCAACTTTCTTGCATACGCTAGAAATGTATTTTATTATATACTGGGTGTATCGTTTAATTTTAATTATCTTCAATATTTTTTATTTGTTTATTTTTTTTTCCTTTTTATTCAGAAATCAAATTACTTTGAGAATTAACTTAAGTTGTGCTACTTGAAGGAAAAAAAATTTTATTATTAATAAATAAATAATAATAATAATAAAAAATACAAAAAAAAATAAAAAGAAATAAACATTTTTTTTTAATTTAAATTATATAATAATAATAATAATAATAATAATAATAATAATAATAATAATCTTTTTTTTTTAAATATTTTAATAGTCGTATTTAATTTTTTGAACAGGTGATGATATTTTCAAATGAAAATTTGTAAAAAAAAGTAAAAAAAAAAAAAAAAAATTCATTCTCGTTTATTTCAAAGTTATATTATATTAATTTATTCTTTCGATTAAATTATTAGAAATAAAAAAGTATATTTTAATTATACGTACAAATTGCAATACCCACTGCGACTAAATTGCATTTGATTGCATTTAAACTGTGTTAATAAAACTCCCATTGACATTACTTAGAAAATATCATGATCATCTTTAATAAATTGTAACACAAATAGACAACAACAACAACATCGTATAATAATATATAATTGATTTCATTCGAGTAAGATTCTCTCTTTTATCTTACAACGTTATCACAGAATTATTATTCTTTTTTTTTTCTTAACTCAGAAGAAAGGAATAATCGAATCTAAGAAAAAGGGGGTCACGTTGTAAACACATAAAAGACAATAATATAATCACATGGAACATGCACTTGAGACTAGTAAAAAAAAAAAAAGATCGATTCGACTCGTTGTTCTTGTTGTTGTTTTTCTACTTGTTTCAATACTCTTCTTCTCTAACATAAGAAAGACAGACTATACTATAGTGAAATTAAAAATAAAATAAAACAAAATTGGAGAACGTTATAAACAGTAGTTTCGAGAACGAGTATTATTGGAAACTGGATCCTGTCCTTGAACAAAATCAATTTTACATTCCAATTGCATTCTAATATATCGTATTGCATTTATCTTTCTATATTAAATTTCTTTGTATTATTTTTCTTCATTTCCAAACACCATAAAACCGTAATTAATTGTAATTCCTATCGAGAAATGGAAAACATTGAATGCGTCATCGAATTGAAGAGAAGAATCGTTCAAAGGATTTAGAAAACGGTTCGAGTTGTTGTTGTTGAAGAAGAAGAAGAAGAAGTAATGGGCTAGGGGATAGAGGGGGGGAGGGAGGGAGAGGACAGGTAACCAGAGGTAATGTCCTATTGTTTTCTTTGACGTGTCTTTCTTTCTTTCGCAATAAAACAAGAGTTGCAATTAAAATCGGACTACCTGTTCGAAACTTTGTTTTTTCTATTCCTTTATTTCCATCCCTTGTCTTTCTTGTTGACGTAAACGAATAAAAAAAAAAAAGGAAAGAAAAAGAGACAGAGGNNGGGGTTAGTTTAAATGAAGAAAAAGAAGAAGTAAAATAAAAAGGGAACGGGGAAAAGAAGGAAGGAAGGAAGGAAGGAAGGAAGGAAGGAAGGGAAGGGTCATTTCAAGTAAAATTTTTAACGAGTTTCTCTGTTAGAAATAAAAAAGAAAAGAAAAAAAGAAAACGATTTCATTTAATTACTTTCCCAACTGTTTTGTAATTTGCGAACTTGTTTGAGAAATAGGGACACTATTTTATAAATGCATGCATATGTATACGTGCGTGTAATTTTGTATGCGTATGTGTATGTGCGTGTGAGTGAATGTGAGAGAAAGAGAAAGAGCTTTAGCTGATTTCGCATGATGAGAAGGTAGGTAGATAGGTAGGTAGGTAGGTAGATAGGTAGATAGGTAGGTAGGGTTCCCATTCGAAAGCAAGCTCTCGAAAAACAAGGTCGTTGTATTCCTGGACTCGCATTATCAATTCGAGAGCGTGGAAAACATATCAACGGGATTTCCGGGTAATGAGAAAGCACGCGACAACTTTTGTAAACATAGTTTAGGTTCTATTGGTTGATGGATTATTCTTTTATCATTGGTAGTAGGAATGAACACGGTAACGATGACAATGATCACGATGACGGTGATTATGTGAGATTGGTAGTAATGGTGATAATAATAGGGTTAGTTGGTTTGTATTGGGAGAAACTAAACGTATGGTTGTTTAGTGTGTTGTTTAGTTGGTTGGTTGGTTTGGATTTGTAGAAACTAAACATATGGTTATTTAGTTGGTTGTTTAGTTAGTTGGTTGGTTAATTTGGATTGGTAGAAACTAAACGTATGGTTTTTTAGTTGGTTGTTTAGTTAGTTAGTTGGTAAATTTTGATTGGTAGAAACTAAACGTATGATTGTTTAGTTGGTTGGTTGATTTGTATTGGTAGAAACTAAACGTATGGTTGTTTAGCTGATTGTTTAGTTGGTTGGTAAATTTTGATTAGTAGAAACTAAACGTATGGTTGTTTAGTTGGTTGGTTGATTTGTATTGGTAGAAACTAAGCGTATGGTTGTTTAGTTGGTTGTTTAATTGGTTAGATTGTTATAAAATAAAGTTATAGTTGTTTAATTAGTTAAACAACCACCTCTAAACAGTTGTTTGGTTTGTTTGTATCAACAGAAACTAAACGTATGGTTGTTTAGTTGGTTGATTAGTTTGTATTAGTAAAAACTGAAAGTATGTTACTTATTATCTTCCATTCATTTTAAATATTCCTGTCTTTATTTATCAATAAAAAAAAAGAAAAGAGAATTCTATTTATTTCTTTATCGATCATTAATTCCGTCAGTTTCATTTTTACAGAACTATCCATTCGTCAGTCCCTTTTTCGATGGGATTGTGTCTGTCTTTCCCTTTCTAGCTATAAATCTGTCTGATACGTTCATCTCTGTCTATTTCTCTCTTTTTATTTTCTCTCGTTTCATTTTAAAGGTTTCTATTTCATTCTATATAACACCGTGTGTTAGTATTTTCTTTTATTTTGTCCTAGTATCTCATTTCACGTTTCTACTTCTACTTCTTCTTCTTCTTCTACTTTTATCAAATACTCGTTTTTCGTTTTTTTTTATTCGTTTCTTCTGTAACGGGGCAAGCATCCACGTCCGGTCTATTTGCCAAGTTAATTATCTCGCTGGTTGGGTATATAAATCGGTCGTGCAAAACGTCCCTTGAATTTTCTATCTCTTCGTTACTCATTCGAATGAGAATGAGCTTTCGATTATATACATCTATATATATACATATATAAATATGTAAATAGGTATTTCTCTTGTTAACCATACGAAATTGGCCATATCCTAGTTTAAACGTTTCTAATTTTCTAATTTTCTCGTAGTAGTCATTTGAAATCTTATGAATTGTTCATAATGTTTAGTTCCTACGTACGTTCGATTGTTCGTTAATAGTATCGATTTAGAAATAAATTCGAATATTATGCAAGATCATTGAATAAAACAAGGAAGCTAGGAAACAAATTTAAAATGAGAGAGAGGAGAAAGAGAGAAATAAAAAATAAAGATAGTTGGCGTCTTTGAATAAGAGAACAAGGAAGTTTTAATCATGCGTGTGAGCAGCCAACTAACACGATAATACGATGGCAAGTGTCTGCAAGCTACCAACCGTATGACTCATGTATATAATATATACCATAGATATGTATATATATTTATACATTACCAGCAAAAAGTTTGCAATTCACAAATCAAACAATTTTTGTTCGTAAAATCAAATAATTTATAAAAATGAATAATTAACTTACCCCCATTTCTTCTGGTTTTTAATTATATATATATATATAATTAACTTACCCCCATTTCTTCTGGTTTTTAATTATATATATATATATATATATATATATATATATATATATATATATATATATATGTGTGTGTTTCTTTTGTATTATACAATTTATTACGATCTCAAATGTAATTTTGCAATTTAGTTAAAAAAAAAAAAAAAATTATTTTTCTATTAAACAAAATTTCCGATAGATTATTATCTATTTTCCAAGGGGAATATTGTTAGTAGAAGAATATGAAGAGGAAGTTAGTTCGAATCGCTTGGTTAGTGAACCCTAGACAAGACCGATCTAATGATAGAACAGTGAAGTCTCTTGGCACGCGTTAACGTTCTTGAACTTGAACAAATAATAATAGAAATCTCACATAAGAATGTTAACCAGTAAAATGAATTCTTAATTCATATATCCTATACTTCCCCTTTTTGTTTTTTATACATTTTATTTCATTTCCAAAAAAAAAAAAAAAATACAAAAAGAATTAAAAATATTATTTCAATAGATTTATTATGAATAATATAAACTAATTAAAAGGTTTTATAATTTAAAATATATATTTATATGTATTTTAATATTTAATATTTTAAAATATTTAAATGATTGCACATTATTTTTCGTAGGATATAAAAAAACAAAGTATATTTATAGTAGTATTTCATTATATTTAATTTATATATTAATTATAATAATAATTATATTAATGTTATATTAATATTATTTTATTAATATAATATTAATAATTATTTATAATATAAATATTTATTTATATTAATATATTATATTAATTATATAATATATTAATATAATATTTGCAGAATATAATATTTTTTTGATAAGGATAAGATTTATAATAATTCGCAAAAACAGATAATTGTGTTTTATCTATTGATATTATTATCTTGAGCGTTTCTTGTATTTGATTTTATTTTATTATATGGATAATATATGAAATATTTTTTCGAAAATAATTGAATAATTATTATAATATATATTTGTATTTTATATTTTATTCAATATCGGATATTTTGTTATCACGATTATTTTGAGAAAATATGAAAATATGAAAAATTGTTAATTCCAAGACTGCAGATCGTCAAGAAGAAAATTGTCTTTATTTATTTTTTTTTAATTATTTTTTTATTTAATGATAGAACGAGTAAGTAGTTATAATAGTTGTCGATCGTGTTATATGTGTATGTATATATGCACTTGAACCTGAACGAGATAATATAATAATAGTGTTATACCGTTACCCACCAAGGCCATAATCGTGCGACAATGTGAAAGAAAATTGCCACCTCTTTGTTAGTCCCCATGGTGGTAATATATAATACGTCTCTGTGTATTTATGGTTTTATATGGGTGTATATATGTGTACGTGAGAAACGTGTACTTGTTTGTGTGTTTTTCAGACTCAACTTGAATGTGAATCGAGGCAAATAGCGTAAGAGGAAAAAATGATAGACATAGCTAGACAGATAGATAGATTAGATGGAAAGATAAAAAGATAAATCGTGTTGTAGTACGAAAAAAACAAAAATAAGATAATCGGTTAACCACAAAGAAACGTTGTTTGTTTCGTTTGCCATCTTTTCATCAAAATTCATTATATTTCGCAAGCTTTTCGTTTTAGTAATTTTACTTAGACAATAATTTTTATTTTATTATCTTATCTTCTTCTTCTTCTTCTTCTTAATATATATAAATTACGTGTCACGTTGTTTGTCCGCAATGRACTYYTAAACTACTGAACCGATTTTAATCAAATTTTGCACACTGTGTGCAGTTTCATCCAACTTGAAAGATAGGATAATTAATTTATAATCGTAATATTATTTTATTGCGAATTATTTGTTTATTAACAAAGAGTCATGATTATCTTTGTTAGTTCGATAAGATTCTAGCAAATGGCGGTATAAGGTAATTCGTTGACTTAAATACGTTTGTATCAGACTGATTGCAAGCCACAACAACCTTAAACTAGGGCACCCCTAGTTTAAATAAATAATATACATTGTATACTATTCACACACAATCCTTGTATGCATACAATTACTTTCTTTTTTAATATTTTGGATAAACAAAATAGTTGAAAATACCTTTCACTTCACACACTAAACTTTTCTTTTATTTCAAATTCTAATAAATTCAATCTAAAAAGACTAATGATCGGGGGGGGAGGGTACTGAGAAAAAGGGTTGTGGATAAATTTAAAAAAACCTTTTTCCTTAAATGAAATACGAATATCAATTCTATGAAGTAATAACTTCAAGAATGATCACAATTTTTCTTGAAATCAAATCCGAACAAAATTGAACTCGAGAATGACAGATATCTATCGGTAGAAGAATCTAAAGATTGGTAGATAGGTAAAGCAGACTGAAGGGGGAGGAAAAAGGGTTAATGAAAAAAAAAGAGAAAAAAAAGGTAGCAAAGAGTGGCGGCGAATGATTAGGTACATGGACGAATGATCAAACGACGACCAGCCTAGAGAGAGAGAGAGAGAGAGAGAGAGAGAGAGAGAGAGAGAGAGAGAAAGAAAGAAAATACCCAACGATTTTCTACGGGGGTGATTTATCGATCCTCGATAGTCTACGTTTTTTTTTTAAAGCAGGAAGAGGAAGAGTAATAGGAATAGAAAGAGAAGAAAAGTAAGGTGCAATCCAAGAACGTTTACTAAACGAAAGTAGGATTACTGTTGAGAATGGAAACGTGTGTTTGTTATCTTATAACCAAAGAAAAATGTTTTTTCTTTTTTTTTTCCCATAAGGGTGGTGTCTATGATACTCTTAGGAATACTTATTCTTTGAAGAAAAATGTCCGAAGACACTGGGCTCAACTAAACCAAACGAATGAACGAATGAAATGTTCTAGGGTTATTTTTCTTTTTGTTCGGTCAGTCGTCGCGTGGGCGTTCATATATTATTTAAAAGGGACAACCTTTTTCTGTTACTCGTAAATCTTACTTCCGTGAAACTCGTACAACTTCCTTGACCTCTTCTTCTTTTTCTTCTTATTCTTTTTCTTTTACTTTTACATTCACATGTGATGAAAATCTATCTCTTGTACCACGTGTATATGAATATTCATTCACACGTAAATTCTATATATATGTGCATATATCGGGCTTATTGTTAAAAATAAAAACGAATTGTTTTCTTCTTCTATATTTTCTATATCTCTGTATTTGAGGTTAGGGTGGTTTCTTTATGAAAGAATTATAGGAAGAAAAATATTCGTTCCTTTATATAAAATATAATAAAATAAAATATAAAATATAAAACAATGATACTCGTTCATTTCTTTTGTTTCCTTCTTCTTCTAAATTGTCTATATCTCTATATTTAAGGTTATGTTGAAGGCGGGATTACAAATTTTTGACCAATAGTGTACAAGTATATACTGTACCTAGTAATAACGTACAATAGTGATACTAAATAAATATAAAATGTAGGTTAGTTTTATCTTCTTTATCATTGTAAAATCATCTGGGGGATGGGTGGGTGGGGGGTGGGGTTAATGTCAAGGAATAAGCGAAAAAAACATCATCTGAACGAGGAAAGTTTTCTTTGGCTCACGAATCGCGTATTCGTTTTCTAAGTCGACTTTGAAGTCCTGCACGCGTTGGCAATAAATTTTCTTCTTACTCTCGTGGGCCCATGAAATAACCGTCTGCTGCCGGCTTTTTAATCAGACTTCGCGAGTGTTCCTATTTTTTTTTCTCTCTCTCTCTCTCTCTTTCTTCTTTCTTCTTTCCTTTACTTTACTTTTTTTCTTTCTTTCTCTTTTTACCTCGTCGAAAGACTTGTCCCAGATACGACGAGATGCTTTGAACCGACACGAAATATATACTAATAATAGTAATAGTAGTACCAGTAGTAGTACTGTTATGAAAAGAGAAAAATTCACACGAGTATTATTATCATGAAAATAAGCTATTTATCGATTTACCAATTTATTCGTCTTTTTTTTTTTTGCTAATCAACTATCATTTTTTCTTTTTTTTTTTATCGTTAACAATTTAACTGTAACTGGATGAGTAGATTATACTCAAACGAGTCACAATTAAATGATTAAAACAATTGTAATAGTTAATAAGAAATTATACATTCAGTTTTTCAAGCTTGATAAACTCAAGAAAATAAATCACTCGCAATCAAAAATTCATACATGACTTTTGAAATGTCATAATCTTTGAATTTAAATTGAATTATTTTAATTGTATTCCATAAAGTTTTAATCAAAATTGCATGATACACCTAAAAAGAGGAGAAAACATTTTTTATTAATTATTATTATTATTTAATTTACTAAGTGTAATCCAAAGCTCTCTTTATAAAACTTTGAACACTTCTTCTTAACACCTAGTATAAGCTGAGAATATCGTTCTAGGCGGTGGCTCTAACCTTTGCTAGGGGTGGGTAGGGAATAGGGTATAGTTAAACTCGCATACTCCGAATTTGCGCCATGCTGCGATGCGACGAGGGTGTGGATACGGTCGATGAAACAGGATAAGGGTTAGAGGGAACAAGGGTGGAGTTGAAATTAGGCTTCCCATGAGAAGAACTCTAACTATCCTTAGGGACAATGTTTATTCCTCTTTTTAATATTTTCTTTGAGCAAACATTAAAGAAACAATTTGACCGATGTCACAAATCACAGATTAAGAATTTTTCTCAATCATATGATCTTGTAAAACGTGTTTCTGATTCCTTCGATAGTAAATTAATTAAAATGAATATTTAATGGAATTGCATTTGAATGAAATAAACGAGTCGAATCGAGAACAACAAAAAAAAAGATAAAATTGTTATTTCATATCAGTGAACACACACATTGTAATCTTTTTATGTGTATGGAAAATAATTTGACGAACGATGTAAATTGTTCAAGGGTTAAGTGGTTCACCCCGTATATAATGATACTTTCTTCTGAGATTTCTACGAAAGTTATCCAAGTAGTCGGTTCCTCGTTAAGGACAGTAACCAAAAGAGGGCGATCAAACGATAACGAAGCTAATTTAACCGTCCTTATAGTGAACTGAAAGATTTAACAGAGAAAAAGATTATGGTAGTGTATTTTAGAATGTATATGTATATATATATATTTTCTCTTGCATGTAGATGTTAAAGGTACATTTTTGTCCTCGTTCTGTGTCGTTTGTATTCGACGAGATTCTACTCCTCGTTGTCCTCTCTCGAGTATTTTTAGCATACTGAAGTGCAACCATACTCTTGCTTCGTAATTTCATGATTTCGTTGTTCGTTTTCCAAATATTACAAAAATAATTTTATTCTGTTACGATACTCGTAATATCATCATCATTATCATTAGCTGTTGTTGGATCATTCCAATTGTTAGATGAGTGGGACCTATTGAATTTAGAATCATTTATTAAATTATGGAACACATCAAATGAAAAGGAACGTATTTGAACGTTTCTTTTTTCTCTAATGTGATTTTTACTTTCAACCAAGAAAATCAACTTTTCCTTTTCTGATATTATTATTTTTATGAGATTGGTAAACTTAGATATCTCCTTCTTATAGGAAAACACCCTTAAAGCACTTTTCTAACTTCCACGAGCACCCTAAAGAAATTCCTTGTGTTTCTTCAGTTTTCCTTGTTTTCTTTTTTTTTTTTTTTTAGAAAATGTTATCTTTGGGATTTTCTTAGGTGTTTCTTAACACATTTGGTGTTTCTCAACACCTCAGAACATTACAAAATTGTTTTACTCTCGTTATAAATCTTAAAATATATATCAAAGTTATCGACATTGTTTTATTGTATTGTGAGGGATAAACCCATGTTGTATCCTCTTGATACTCATGAAACAAAACATCACTTTAAGAGTGATCAAATATTTAATAACTTTGACTGAATCAATTTGTTGTTCTTTTCTTTTTTTTTCTTTAATCATCGTAGATCCCGCGATAAAGGCGCACGTGCGTCGACTCCTGTCACCCGGGGATGCAACACACGAGGAGAATTCAAGCGAAATTGGGAAATCAACTCGGGAAGAATGTTCAATCGCGCAAAACTCTAGAGACGTGAAATCTTCATCGAGTAGTGGTTGTGAAAACGAGGAATCGAGAAAATCTGGGTCACCACCGGTATTAGCAGTGAATTCACCCCAAAATCCTCAAGGTGGGGGTCCCACGCAGTATTCAACCAGAAGCAATGGTTCCTATAGCGATCCTTCGAGTTCGTCAGAATTGGAGGCCCTTTTACCATCAATGGATAGCTTCAAGGAAGAGGAACGTGCTCAGTGGGAGCCACTTTCTGGTGAAAAGTTTGGTCGTCAGAAGAACACGCCTAGGTAGGTACTTAATCTAATGTATAATATATTTTATATAGGGTTTTCTCGTGTTATACATTTCGATAGGACACTTTAACAAAACAGTTTAATTTTCCCGATTTTCGAATCCCCCTCTCCTATTAATGTGATTTATTTTTTCCTACGTTTATATTCATGAATTCTTTATAAAATATAGTTCATTATAAAGCCTAAAGGGATTAAATTGAGAAAGTATTTACACAAAATTGTTTCGGTTATTACAAAAACAAGTTGTTTTTCATTTGGACAGTAGAGAAAAGTATATTGTTCTTCCCTGCGTTAATTGTTCAAAAAGTTATGAGAGGTTCTTAGATGAGCTTTCCCCTCCTCCATTACCGATGATTATTCAACGAAAACTCGATGAACTTGGCGAGAAACTTAGCGACACATTTAGAATTCATAAAATGTATTTTAGCATAAAATAGTAAGTTTATCGCATTGAAAAGTTTTACTCGACGACAGCGACGGCGACAGATATCACAAAGTTTAAGACTGGGCGTCGTGTTTTGGTTGTTAACGGGTTGGAAAATATTCATGTACAGTTTATGTATTTAAAAGATGTAGGAAGATTTAACGTAGACCGATTGTATGATTTGTCGTTCAGGTTCGAAGCTTATATGATGACCGGAGATCTCATGCTGAACCTGTCGCGAACGCAGCAAAGCAGCGGTTTCCTGCCGAAGTACCAGAAGAAAGTCGACTCGCTTAGGTACAACAATCATCACTCCCACCATCACCATAATCATCACAATCACCACCATCATAAGTCGGTACCTACCAGTCCTAACGAGATGCTGGGCCATCACCGTGCTTACAAGTGCACTGGCTCGAACTCGGCCAGCACTTCGCCGGTCGGGATCAGCAAACGCGAGGGCGGCCAATGCCCGAGCCAGGGCGACTCTAGCAAGCCCAATGCCGCCGCGAGCAGTTTTGGTTATTCGAGCGGTTTTGTACGTACCTCGCGCTCCGAGGATCACTTGCAATTCCAAAAGGACCCTTCGATGAGCGCGGTGGACATAGACATTGACGATGACGTCACGTCCAGCCTAAATACCCTGTTGGACACGCGGCCGGATAGCGGCCAGGGCCTGTCCAGCGAGAGAATCGTCTGGACGTACAACGCACCGGTTAGCTCGTCCTCTGCCTCGGAGCGCACCTCCTGCTGCCAAAATGGCAGCTCCTCTCAATCTTCATCCTCGCCCTCGAGTTCCTCGAGCTCCTCGACGGAGGGTACAAGCCCTCAGCGTTCCTTATCACCTGCCTCTCCGACCTCAGTCTCGTCCTCCGTCATGTCCTCCAATTCTGGATCCCGTAGGTTCCCACCACCGGTACCGACTGCTCCGCCGGCCCTGGTGGGACCCTCGGGCGACGGGACCACCTCCTCGACCTCCGGCCTACATCCCACCAACGGCGACCTCAGCCAGTCGGAGGCCATCAGCAACATGTCCAGTCCGGATTACAACGACGAGGAGACCATGGATATTCTCAGTGTGCGCGACATTATGATGGTCAGTGATCCCAGTGACAGTGACTCGACGATACTCGCGAGCGAACCACCTCAGAGGAGACTCAAGCAGAGCTCGGCATCGAATACTAACGCTGCTACGCCTTCTTACGCTCAACAACAACAACAACAACAACAACAGCAACAGCAACAGCAACAACAGGACTCTTCGGCTGAACATAGGATAGTAATACAAGTTAAAGGACCGGACAAGGATTCTTCTTCGAGAAACTCTAGTCCAAGGCAGACAAGGAGAAGGACGATTCCTTCTGGGGGTGGWGGTGGTAACGCTTCTTCCGTTGATCTTTTACCACCAAATATTTCGACGGTACAAAATGCTGCCCAACGATCCTCGCCTTCGACTCTTACCTCTGGTAACGTTACTCCAGAGTTTGTTGGTTATCAGGTAGGTTGTCGATCCTTTAAAATACGATCTCTACTTGATAATTACAATCTTTAATCAATCAAATTTCATCTGACTAATATTTTCCTAGGAGCTCAAGGAAAGCGAGGACGAAAGGGAAGCTTACAGTGCTGGATTCTACGACGATCAGAAACATAGCAGTGCTTCCCCACCTCAGTCAGCCGACGAGGAAAGCGATATCGAGAGTCTCCATAGCTTCCATTACAGTCCAAAAGCGGTTGATCTACCGTCCGCCGTTCGACTAGCTAAAAGGCTATTTTCTTTAGATGGCTTTAAGAAATCCGATGTCTCCAGACATCTTAGTAAAAAGTATGGGTTGTTTTGTTCTTTTTCTCTTGCTCTCTTTTCGCGTTTTTATCTGTCAGTTGAAAAGACGAAATAGGAATATGTGTTTATATGTATATACATTAACGAAAAACCTTCTTCCTTTATAGCAACGACTTTAGTAAAGCGGTAGCCGAGGAGTACTTGAAATATTTCAACTTTGAACGAGACACGCTGGACGTGGCTCTCAGAAAGTTCCTTGTGCAGTTCTCTTTAACGGGAGAGACCCAAGAAAGGGAGCGAGTTCTTGTACATTTCTCTAAGAGGTATCTTGATTGTAATCCCGGCACGTTTCGCTCTCAAGGTACGTAAGTACATTAAAACAACTACAGAAAAAAATAAAATCGATTATCGATCATTCATTCATTCATTCATTCATTTATTCATTCATTCATTCATTCATTTCATAGGTTGTTCAATTACACATCACATATATTTGAATATTTTTCAGATGCTGTTCACACATTAACTTGTGCTATTATGTTGCTAAATACCGATCTTCATGGGCAGAATATCGGTAGAAAAATGTCGTGCTCGGAGTTTATAGAAAATTTATCAGAATTAAACGACGGTGATAATTTCCCTAGGGAGGTGCTAAAGCAACTTTACAATGCTATCAAATCATATCCCTTGGATTGGGCTTTGTAAGTTAAACTTCAACGCGAGTATAGTTAAATAATACTTCGAATTATATGTTAATTGGTTTTATTAATAGAATTTTAATTTAATTTTAAATCTTTAAAGGGATGATGAAGGTGACGAAACGACTGCTCAGGTTATCCAACAGGGTGATGGACCAGCGATAGCTGGTACTGGAAATCCATTTCTCGATGTGCCAAATGTTACAGGTGCTACGGAGTTCAAGAAGGGTTACGTTATGCGCAAATGTTGTTACGATTCCAATGGGAAAAAAAGTTTGTTATAACATTTCTATTTTATAATACGAAACAATACTTTCTAAATTTATTATAATAATTCATGATGTTTTTTTTTTTCTAAACAAAATATTTTTAGCTCCCTTCGGAAAGAGAGGTTGGAAGATGTATTATTGTACATTGAGAGAGCTTGTATTATATTTACATAAAGACGAGCATGGCTTCCGTAACGATAGTTTGCACAATGCTATACGTATTCATCATGCATTAGCTACAAAAGCATCGGATTACACGAAGAAGCAACACGTTTTCAGGCTACAAACTGCCGATCAAGCGGAATATCTTTTCCAAACGAGGTATCATATTCATTAACGATTATTCAAACGCAAATCTTTTCATTTAGTAATAATTGTTTGTTCTTTTCTCACAAAGAAGAACACGTAAGACATCAGGGGTTGTAAATTGGAAGGGAGAAGGGTTAGAGTTTCGATGATTTCTCTTTTAACCCGGCGAAAAATCAGTCCGAGTGCGCCCCATTACCGGGATTAGTTATTTCTCCTCCAAGCGATTATTAAATAAAATAACTTTTATACCTAAAAGGTTGAAGGTCTTGGAGACGCATAAACGTCCCCATAACAGCGCACCATTAACAACAATGATTTCACGATTGAGACGGCCTTAGAATCAGTTGGAGGCCCAACTTGGCGTTATTTTTTGTCCTAGATGTTTTTCAGTAACTGGGACAAATGTTGTCCTAGCCGTAATATCAAAAATTTTCCAGACTGGGACAGCACATGTCCCGTTCGGTGCGAAAGGATTAAAAATTAATGCTTCTAACATCTTGCAAGAATTATTAAAACAGAAATATTGTTTATGATTTAAAATAGTTTATTTCTTTTTGTATTTACAGCGATTCCAAAGAACTTCAATCGTGGATCGACACGATCAATTTTGTATGCGCCAGTTTCTCATGCCAGCCCCTCGCAGGAGCCGTCGGTTCTCAACGAAAATTTCAGCGGCCTCTCCTACCATGCAGTCACACCAAATTATCTCCTGTGAGTAATAAACATACAAAAAAAATAGTATTGATTTGAAAAAAGAAAAAAGAAAAGATTTGTTTAAAGAAAAAAAAAAAAAGAGAAATGAAAATTTGTTCTATATGATTTTTAATGGATGATCTCTCTCTCTCTCTCTCTCTGCAGCGTTAATTTCTCAATGAGGAGGAATTATAATCTATTTTTATTCTTTCTTTATTTACAAGCCTTCCACCACTAATCTCGAAGCAAGCTTCGTTCTCTAAGTTTGTATCTTTACAAGTAGTACATTCATATGGTTTTTGAGAAGAAAGATTTATTTTATTTCTTTCAAACCAACAGCCGTATATATATATATATTATTCTGATGTTATTAAATCATCGAACGCATTATACACATTTTAAAGAAACCCTGCACGATTATTATTGTCGAAATTGTTTAATATCGTTTCGTCATTGCTTAGCAAGAAATTTTTTATCGACTCTTCTTCGGATTGTTTGTTGTGTTACCAGAGAGAACAGTTACGGGACCACGAGGATAGAGTTAACAGACTGGAAGCTGAGTTGGACGAACATAAACGACATCCTCCGGAAAAAGGAGCTAAAGCTTTAGCCGTACAAAATTATAAAGAGAAGGGTGCATACTTGTATCACGAGGTACAATTTCGTATGATTTATATAATTAGAGATCAAGTTATGTTTGAATCTAGATCTTATTATTTTACAAAAAAAAATCATCAACGCATAGATCAATTCTTACATTGTAGTTCAAGTTGTTCAGTTGTTCAACTTAAGTTGTAATTCAATTTAATACAGTAGCCCTCCTACAACACGGTTTCGCTATAACACGATTTATAAATTGCGGGAACCCTCTTACAACACGGTATCCTGTAACACGGGTTTCTTTCAAAAAACCTTTTTGTACAACACAGTACTTCTACAGTCGCGGCGAGGCTTGCTTTCTTAAAGATACATTATTGCGGAAAGTATTTCTTTTCATCCCCATGGCCTTAAAACAAAAGTCTCATACAACATGGTTTCACACAACACGGCATTTTCTAGGAACCTATCTACCGTGTTATAGGGGAGGATACCTGTATCTCAATATCGAATAATAATTGAGAGTCAATAGCTTTTTGTATAACTTAAATTCAAACATAACGTCACGTTTCTTTTAATTTTTGTGAATAATCATATATCTTTTTTGTATATTTGTTTGTTAATACAGTTAAAAAGGTACAAGACGTATGCCTACTTGTTACGTTCAAGACTGGCATTCACAGAAGTTGAACCATCCCTGGTAGAAAGCAGTATCGGTGAAGTGGATGAAGGAAGTGGCGCTTTGTTGAATGCTGACGTAGCGTTAGTACCTCCTCCAGTTCCTGATCGACCAGCCATAAATAGGTACAGTTACAGGGCTGCCATTTACAACCGTAATCTTCTAAATGGTCAGGACTACTGCGGGGATATTGGTTGACGTGTGATGGGTGTATTTTCAGCATGTGTGGTCTAATCCGTGCTGCTCCTACAAATATTGCGCAGCTATACGGAAATATTAGCTCCAATTTCTAAGAGATATTAACCGAAACTAACGATGTACTCGATTCCATCACTTGTTAAGTACTGTACCTTATTGTACTTTGTACTCACATCCACACGCATACACTGTTTCTTTTAATACATATAACCTAATCATTCTAAACACAGGCGATCTCATTAATACGGTAGTTGTAATATATTCTTACGACATTATAATAATCAATCGATGCAGCAGATTTCTTATATATTGTTATTAAAAATTCAATAATTTTTATAATTATCTCGATTGTGAGATAATTAACGTTGAAACATTTATCACGAATCATTATCATTTAAAAGAAAGAAATTTTCGGAAAATATTTGTTCTTGAATTCATTCTATTTCGAAACATGTATTAAGGAGATATTGATTTTATCGATTAATACGATATTTTTAAATGTCAAAAGAAAACTGCTGTTTTATATTCGCCTGTACACTTTTAAACAAAAAAAAAAAAACAAAAGAAACAACAACAGACATTTTAAACTCGCATTTAAATGAATGTTCGGTGGTGATTGGTGGTAATGGTAATAGACTAACTCGGCATTAGTGTAAATTTACTCGCTAATAACTATAACTCTCATAGGATCATTATGAGATTAAATATCTAGAAAAGGCTCGATTCTCAAAATTTCGTGCCTTTGGGTGAAGAAAATTATAAAACAAGAAGAGAATGTGTAGAATGATAACGATGGTAAAATACACATATACATTGCATACACATACACGGGACACAAACACACACACACACACACATACAGATGCGCGCAATTAGAAATTGATCGACATCAGTCATCTGCATGTTAGGAAATAATTATAATAACGTTTCATTCTAAACGAATTCTTATAAAATAACAATAAAAGGACAACATTGTCCTCTTGTTGTTAGATCTATAGTGAAAATTACAAGAAAACCAAAGTCCTTAAATGCAAAAAGGAAATTGTCATATATATACATATAAATGCATATATATGCGCACGAGATATATAATCATGTTTTATCCTCTCGACAAATATAGATGCATTCGACTTAATTTTCAGTTAAAAAGAAAAAAGAAACATTACACAGTATTCGAAAGTATTAACCATCTAAATACGTGTAATTGTTTTTTTTTGTTATCAGATAAAATAATATTTATCGTTACGGAAACATCTCGCCATTTTGTTGTTTTTTTATTTCGTTTCTTATTACTGCTTTTAAACAAATTTTTGTTCATTTTTCTTTTCTTTTCTTTTCTTTTCTTTTCTTCTTCTTCTTATTTCTTTTTTGTTTTGTTTTAAACTAACATTTCATATAAAACTGCTCATTAGCTTAATTTACAATTACATTCGCATAATGACGTGAATGAAGTTATACAGCTTTTTTCTTACTTCAAAAAAAAAAAAAAACCTAAAATAAAGAAAGAAAAGAAGTATATCAAGTAACTAATGTGTCTATCTCTTTTGCAAACGTAGACACGCTATATATATATTATATTATTATTATTATTTTATTATTATTATTATTATTATTATTATTATTATTATTATTATTTTTATTATTATTATTACTATATAAAAAATAAGTTGCTTTTGCACGAAGCGACGATTATTGCAACTTCCAATGCCTTATCATTTTTATCTTTTTCTCGTCATACATACAAAATAGCCGATTTTTATCAAAAATAATGTTTTTCTCCTATAGAAATAAGATCTTTACAGATCATAGATGTTTAAATGATTAGAATTAAAAGTAACATATATATATATATATTTAATGAGTAATTTTTTGATAACAATTTCATAGGTTGCTAAATCTTACAGTTTCATTTTTTTTTTTGAGTTTGTAACTAAAGGGGAATTATCAAATTTATTGAAAAGTTATGAAAGAAGAGGAATTATTATTAAAATTCATTAAAAAATTGTTTTTTTTTTGCCCCGTGTAACCGCACATAGTTATATTTTTAAGAAATATATATATATACACACATAAATATCACGACGCGTATATATCAACGATAACGTTGTTGAGAAATATGAGCCCTATGAGAAAATATCATAAAAGTATAAAGAGATAAAGTTTTTAATTATTATTAATAATTATTTTTCTTTTTATTTTTTTTTTTTTTATTGATTTGCATTTTGTAAACTAATACAAATTACTATGGCTGATGACACTATAAATGCTGTGCAAATTAAGACTGGATAAATTAAGTTACGTTGATGTGTTAAATTGAAAAATTGACTCATGGCACTAACAAAGAACAATAACAACAACAAGAACAACAACAACAACAACAAAAACAAACAATGTTCCAAATATTTCAATGGTCTTATATCAATGAACTATTTCTATTTTCATATCTTAGGTAATTTAGCAGAACTGTTCTATCATTTTTCTCTAATAATTACGATTGAAATGTGATCAACTTTACGAAAAATAATTTGAACTTGTTAAATGAGTTATTGTTTTTTTTTTTTATTTTTCTATTTTACTAAATGCATTTCGGTATAAAACAATAATTTGATACTCTGTTTGACATACGTAATGTGTCTGAAGAATTATAATCTTCTATTTAAGTTTTAAGACAAAGTAGCTATCACAATTATATCACAAAGTAGATTTACTTTATTTATAATCAGTGTATGACATTATAGAAGATAGGATATAAATAATATATTTGTTTATGTTATTATTAATTATATATATATATATATATATATATATATATATATTATAATATATCGAACGTTTGAAAAAGTATCTTAATCATAATACAATGTTCCAATAATGTGCTTTTTCTTTACAAACGTAAAGTACCAAAAATAGCCAATTTTTAAATAAGAACAACTTGTCAATAATTCTTTCGAACGAAAGAATATTACTAATAAGAATTACAAATATATAAGTGATTATTATTGATTTCATTTTTGAATATCACATTCTTATTTCTTTGTTTTCTTTTAAATATAATTTACAACTTCTGTTACTTTTTCTTTTTCATTTTATTCGTAAGACTATTTAGGTACGCTTAACAAAAGAAAAGAAAAAAAAAAAAGAAGAAAACACTGATTATTAATAAAGTTATTTACTATAATAAATACGTGAAAGAAATTTTGATAGAAAATATATAATCGTGACTCTCGCAACGATAATATTTATTAAAATTAAACGAAATAATATTTAAATGATCACTCTCGTGTAGTTCGTACTGTAGTAAAACGGTTGATACTTTCATTTTATTTTCTAAAAGTGAATCAAAGATTTAAAGAAAAAGAAAAGAAAAAAAGAAAAAATAAAACACAGTATCAATAGTTAGAAAAAAAAAAAAGAAAAGAAAAAAACAAATTATATCCTTAAGAACACGGTCGAAAATCTAGAAATTTTTGGCAACTTTTACATTAAGAGTTTATAGCATTTAAAAAATTGTTTATACATAGAGAAGTGCTTTGTTAGTTACAATTGTTAACTAGTCGAATTAGTATTTTAGACATGGTTCCTGTATATTATCTTTGCTATATATATTCCATTTCCATATTAAATTATTTCATTATTATTATATTATTATTATTAATATTATTATGATTTTATTTTTGTATTTTGATTATAGTTAGATATTTGATTTCCTATGTACTATTTATTATTATTATTGTTATTATTACTATTATTATTACTATTATCATCATCATTACCATCTTTATAGAGACTTGGCAAAAGTTCTGTTATTAAAAGTTAACTATAGTGTATAGCCAAATCCTTGTACATAAAACTGTAATATATGTGTATAATATTATTATTATTATTATTATTATTATTATTCTTATTCTTATTATTATTCTTCTTCTTATTATTATTATTATTATTATTATTATTATTATTATTATGATTATTATTATTATTCTTATTATAATAAACGAAACGATTCTAATGGTAATAAAGATAAACCATCTCCAGATTAAATAGATTTACGATTTTCATATTAAAAACCCAGAAGAGAGTACAGATGATAGTGCCGCTTGATTCATGTAACGTAATTATGATTCATCTAAATATGCATGTGCACGAACGTATTTAATTTTGGCTTACAAAAGCTATATACACATTACACATATACAACATACAGAATTATCTCATTCGCTTTATTCATCAAAAGTTGACAAACGAGTATAATGAAATATATCTAACTAATTTATATAAATGATCTAATATATATATATAACATAACTTAATTATGCTTTTTAGATTTTGCTATGTATAGCTAGATTTATTGTACAAAACTTTGTGTACATATTACCCAAAGCAATTGTTTTGGTAAATATTTTTAATTTAATCATTTACTAGCACTGTATAAATGTAATCGGATAAAAAGTGCAGATTGAGACCTGCTATTATTATACAGGATGATCTGAAAATATGTGAATATAATATCACGGATGTTTACAGTATGTTAAAATAAGAAAAGAAAAAGAAACTGGATGTGACTTTTTTCTTTCTTTCTTATTTTAACTTACCGAAACAACTTTTGAACTTATTCGTACATATTTTGAAACATCTCGTACATATCATATATATATATATATATATATACATAATATATAATAAATATATTATGCAATAATATATAATAATTATATTATACAAT